AACACCGCCCTCCGACAACACCTGGCGGTCACCCAGAAGCTATACCAAGCCTTGCAGCAGCAGAAGGAGGATGCGGCGACGAAGAGTCAGGCGGATGCCGAACTAATACGGGCAAAGATCGAGTCGGAATTGCAGGAGGAGCGGAGACAGAACAAAGTCCTAGCAACCGAGCTTGCGCGCCAGACGCGCGCCTTAGAAGAAAGTCAAAGAGCCCGCAAGGAGGATGAGGAGTTGTTGCGCAACTTGCAAACCGACTGCTCGGATTTGAGGGCACAACGTGCGGAATTAGAAATGCAGCTGGCAGAGGTGGAGAGCAGCTGCAGGGCGCGAGGAGAGTTGGCGGCACGGGTGACTCGTTGTCTAAAAGGATACACCCATTGGGAGGTGGTAGCTCAAGAGAGGATCACCCTCAGGGAGTTCGAGCTTCGGGCGGCGGCCTTGACGGAAGGTGACAGTCGGAGTCGGCGGCGAGTGGCAAGAAAATTAGAAACCTTCTTGTCGGGTGCGCGCGACACTATGGCGCACTTGCAGTCGGAAGTCACTGCAGCGCTCCGACGCCTGGGGTTACGCAGCCGGTCGGAAGACTGGCAAGGTAGAGACAGTAAGCGGAGCAGTCCGGCGCGCAGGAGGCGCAGCACCGGATCTGCTGAGTGCAGTAGAGTAGTTTGGTTTCGCGCAGATGCTGCGAGTGGTAGATAGGATAGTGTAGTGCTAGTTAGGATCTTTTGAGAGTATAAAGTAGATCAAGGCGTTTTGCCTTGGGACTCTTCCAGTTTCGGAAGTGCAGATCAGGAACTCACTTTCTTGGCGTGTTTGTGCATTTTGGTCCTGGCACCACGTAGAGAAGCTGCAGCATAGCGAAGTTACCGTATGTTGTAGTTGAAGGCCTTCGGCTGAATGTTCAGAGCTAGCACCCGGTTAGAGACTTGAGTAGTGCGGATCTGCACCTGCGGGTGATTTCTGATGCTCAGAGCCGGCTGCGAGTTAGATACTTGAACAGTTCCCCCTTACTCCTTCGAGTGACATATCCTGATTGTACTCCTACGGGAAGTTTCCCCTGAATGCCAATGTGAAGTTTCATTACTTCGTGTAAACCTTGGTTTGTAATTCAGGTTGTGTGTGTGTTACTGGATCGTGTTTTCAGTAAGTTCTCAGTCGGGTCTGCACTCCCTGCGTTTTGTGTGATAGTCGAGGGTGACGTCCACGGCGTACGTAGAGGCTTCGTTCCGAAGTGAGAAGTCCAGTCCGGGTACCCCCGCTAGTTCCTGGCGGAAGGGCAGTAAAAGCCGGAGTGGGAGGCACTTCCTGCAGAACCTCTGAGTGAACTTACGAGACACTTTCCTCCTGAAATCCGAAGCGGAGGTCCTGACCGACCTCCGAGTTGTGCTTTTTGCCAGTTTCAGGTGTGTGTGTTTGTGTGTGTTGAGTGACCAAGCTGTACCGTGCATCCTCCGAGCATCCTCCGAGTTGAGATCCTCCTCCGAGTCGAGCCTCCGAGTCGAGCACTGCAGTATTTCTGGGAGTGACAGTCGCCTAGAATTCAAACTCTACAAAAGTCTGTTAAACGTGACACTTTTACTCTGTGTGTTGCCTCTGTCCCTGTGGGTTCGATCTTTTTACCACCATACTGCAGTTTTAGCCTTTGGTGGGTTATTACACTGATTTAAACCATATAGCAGTTTTTTATTCCAAAAATTGTTATGTATTTGATAGAAAAAATCCACGCATCATAATATTGCAAGGAGAACGTAATACACATAACAATTTATACAAGCTATCTAGTCATATAGGTCTCTTACTGGACATCACGACACCATTTTCCCCAACATAACTTCTTCGTTCCAATGAAGCTTGGAATATAGAAGAGTCTAAACAGGATCTTCAAACTTGTTCAGTTTCTCAGGTAGAATTTTGGCATCGTAGGATGTATCATGCAAATTATTAAAAACTTCATTTGATGACCTCTAAGAAGTTGGTTGTCAAAATTACTCAGATCTGTCACATTAGATCTTTATGTGCTATCTGTTTGAAAGCAAAACAAAGCTGAGATCGTATTTTCAAACACTCATGTACTCAAAAAATCCGTCCATTACAATTGTTTCACTCTGATTTATGCAGGCCTCTTCCTTATGAATCCCTAGCAAAAGAAACAATACATGGTGATGTTTACTCACAATTTTACCATCTATACTTGGATTTATTTTCTGAGGATAAAAAACAAAGCATTAGAGAAATTTCAGGATTTCAAAGTTATGGTAAAGAATAATTACAGTCACAAGATTGTGGCACTGCCAAAAGACAAAGGGGAAAAATATCTCACCAAGACTTATCATGATTTCTGCGTAAAGTCAGGCATTCATCATGCTTTAACTTGTGTGTACACTCCACATCCAAATGGAGTTTCTAAGAAAAAAAAATAGGATAGTTTTTGAGATGGTTAGAAGCTTACTTCTTTATGCTCAATGACCTAAGGCTCTATGCGAGGAGGCCACAAGGACAGCGGTTTATTTCTTAAGTCGATTGTTGACAAAGGCAGTGCAGATGTCTCATCCCGAATGTCAAGCACTTTAGAGTTTTTGGATGTGCAGCTTCTATCCTACTTACAACCAGGTTTGACAACTTTTTCCTAGATCCTTGCCAGTTACTTTTATAGGCTATGATACTCAATCAAAAGACTATTGTGTTTATGACGATGTTAATGAAAAACTGTATATGAGTAGAAACGTAAGATTTAAGGAGTCTGTTTTTGGACTCGTAGCCCGATAAGATCCTGAACTTGTGGCCAATCTTGATTTGCTACTCCCAAAAAAAAAGAAACCTCAAGCAGGGACTTGCTCTGCCAATACTGACTCCAAGAATGCTTTACCGATTGATGCTACACCTCACTCATTTCCTAAGTCCACATTTGTTCAGCCCATACCTCTGTATATTCTCAGATTTAGAAAAAATATCATCTACTTCTTTTATCTGTTCTGTCTCACCTTTGCATCCTCCACCATGTGAATCCAACGTTGAGAGTGAATGGTTCCAAGACTCAACTCCCACGGTTGACCGTCCTGACATAATAGAGCAACTACTTCAAATTCTATTGTAAAAGATATGTCAAACAGTCGGCCCATCACACTCCGCTCCAGGCGTACTCTAGGTTACTTACTGGAAGAACTATGTGAATTACAGTGCCGAGATTCCTGGAAATACACTCAATTGTTATGAAGTTGAAATTATCGACTACATGAGAGAATAGCTGCGACAAAGCTATCAAGATTTTTGAATGTCTCGCGTCGATGGTTGATGAGTTGAACTTCATCCATAAAAACCGTACCTGGATCTTGGTTAAATTATCATAAGGAGCAAAAACAATAACATGCAAGTAGATGTTTCGGGTCAAAGAAACTTAGAACGTTTTTACACCCTGTCTTAAGTCTAGTCTTGTAGCAAGAGTCTTCCAACAAAAAGAAAGTAGGGATACTTTCCCTCCTGTCGTGAAATGATCTACGGTAAGATTTGTTTCCGCCATTGCTAGTGCATGCGGATGGCCAATTTGTCATCTCTTGTCAAAACTGCTTTCTTAAATGATGTTATTCAGAAAAGATCTATGTGAATCAACCATCTGGCTTTATTAGTAAAGGTTTGAGGATTTTGTATGAAAACTTAATAAAGCTCTTTACGGCTTAAGACAAGCTCCAAGGGCTTCGTTCAGATGTATTGATTTATATTTAAGACGAACAGGTTGGACACATTGTCACTCAGATCCTAATCTTCATGTTTTAAGGGAGGATTGGCTCATAGTAATCCTAATGCTCTATGTAGACTACATGTACATAGCAGTAAACAGTCAAGTGAAAATCTCTAAGATTAAGTCAGATCTGATGCATCAGTTTGAAATGAATGATTTAGGTGATATTCAGAAGTATTTAGGAGTTGAGTTCTCTCGTTCACCACAAGGATTATTACTCCATGAGAAGTCATATATGATCAAATTTTAAAAGACTTTAATATGCTTGAGTGTAGACCATCTACATTACCAATCGATGCGGAAAAATACTTGACAGAAGATATCAGCACTCCCTTCATAGATTTTACATTTTACAAATGACTAGTCCCAGAGTTTCCAAATATGTTAGACCAGTTTATAAAATATAGGCTAAAGCTCAAAGAAAACAACAAACTTGGGGCTTTCACTTTTCAAATTGTTTTAAATGGTATTTTTGGTTGGCCAATTGATGTTTGCTACTAACTTGAGATTTGATATTTGTTTTGCCGTGAGACAAGTACCACAATTTGTGACAGCACCTCCGGAGTTTCATCTAGATATTGGCTTCCAAACCTTGCAGTACTTCAAGGTTGATTTAGACCACGGAATATTGTTGAAACAAGGATATCCACTACAATTTCTGGGATACACAGATGCCACGTGGGGCTCTTGCCAAGACACATTCAAATTCATTGCTGCTTACGTTCTTACAGTAGCTCGAGGAGCACTATTATGGTGTTATAAGAAGCAGAATCTCATCTCACTCTCCTCTACAGAGACTGAATATAAAACCTTGTCCTTTGGTGCGCAAGAAGTTATTTGGCTACTACAACTATTGCATGAGATCAATCCAGTTACAATAACAATGGCCTCTCTCCTGCAAGGATATTGAGATCACTTCTGCTCTTACCACTCCCAATTCCCTGATTGACTCCACAATAGATCACTTCTGCTCTTACCACTCCCAATTCACTGATTGACTCCACAATAATTCACTGTGGCAACGAGAGTGTTGTAAAACTTGCCAAGAATCCGGTTTTTTCATGCAAGATGTAAGCACATTGGTATCCCACATCATTTCACTATGTAGCAGTTGGCTTTGAATTAGATTGAGGTTAGATTACTCTCCACAAAATTACAGCAAGCAGATTAGCAAGGCTCTTCCTAGGCTGAAGTTCTTGGCAAAACCACTAAATAATTTATTTTGAAAGTTAGATGATGAAGAATTAGATATAGAGAATTAATTTTAGATATATTTAGATAATTTTAGATACTACCTTATGAATAAGGGAGGGTGTTAGATGTAAAGATACTCTTGGAGTGCTAATATTACAAAAGAACTGTATCAGTGTCCAAAGGAGTGGACGCAGCTTCTCGGTCACCCATTACACTACGGTTATAGATCACCGTTGTGGACTACACTATATGTACAAATCCTTCTTAGTGATTAAAACAGTCTGAACGATCACAAATCAGCGATTCCAACACTCTGACGCTCCAATCGTTGCGAAATCGATCGAGCTCCTTGACAGTGGCCATCTGGGGCCCTGGAGGAGGGAGTTTGAGCCACGGGTGATTCACGACCACTTGGGCTCCGGGAAGGGCGTCATCACTGGCGGGTCCAAATCCTCGAGGGCCGATCATCCGGAGCAAGTTCAATGCCGCATCGCGGACCCAGGGCTTGAAATCGGGCCCAGTTGCTGGAATGTCGTCCGGGTCGGGATTGTTGACTAACACATTGTACAGGATTTTGCCCATGGCTCTCACATCTCCTGCCACCGTGTAAGGCACCTGGGTCTGTGCACTCAGATGGTGATCGTAGAGATAGTCAGATTGGTGGAAGTTTCTCTTATGCTTCGTGGCCAAGTGCGGGTAGTGGATGGCCAGATCGAAGCCTGTGATCTTGCAGGCTATGGAGTCAGTAAACGGCTTATGGAAGTAGAGAATGGTGGACGAGGTCAAGTTACCGTGGACCACGCCATATTCATGCATGAAGAGCACGGTCTCGGCAACTTTGGTGAAGAGGGCTCGCGCAAGGATGTCGGTGGCCATAGGATAGAAGTGGTTGAGGTCCAACATTCCCTCGCACATATCTTGCAATATGAACATGCTCGTCTGGCTGAAGACTAATCTGTCCAGCGCGTTTATGTGCTTGTGTTTGGGAAGAATTCGGTTCAAAACCACACATTTTCTGAACAGCCCCAGACATTGCCGCGAGTCTGCGTTGATTCCGAAGCGGTCCATCTTCGAGTCAATTTGCAGTGCGTATTTTTTCCCCGGATCGGCCTTATCTTCAACAGCCATGCACGCAGTAAATGGGCCGCTCTCAATCGAACCCACGAGTTTCCATCGATCCCAGAAAGTGCTGTCGAAAATTATATGCTTCACAGGAACGTAGGGCGGAGGGTCCACATCGTAGCTGTCATCATCGTCCTAGAGTTCACCAATTATGACATCAGCAGCTAGAATTAGATCTTACAGCATTCGTGAGGCACATGGCCTGCACATGAGATCAAAATGCTACACGGAGCACACTATGGTCTGATACTCAGATGCACTCTTCCTGAAACTCCTGACCTCAAATTATCTCATCTTGTATTACATGTCTGAATCGTCCAGCTTCAACTACAGCCTCAACAACGACATCTTTACAGCACAGCAAGACTTTGCTTTTCAGCAGTTAGTAGGACACTCTACTGTCTACGTTCTTGCCTCTCTCGTGAAATGTGTTCACACGATCAGAAGTTCGTAACGCATAATTCATCTCCGACTTTGAACCGCGAAATCATCGCCGGCCTATACTCTCGCTTGGCGCACATGTCAGCCAGATCATAAATTTACAAACTGTTCAAGATGATATTTCGTTTTGATTCAGCTGAATTGGTTTTGTACAGCGGAAATTTCTGCCTCGAGAACATTCGCTTTTAGAGGTTTTAGTGGTTTCTGAGGGTTTTTGGTGCTTGCTGTAGCTGCGGATCGATTTCTGTCAGGGTGATGTTTCTCTATCGGACAATTGGGGTTTACAATTTTGGAAGATCTGGAGCGAAGGCGCAATTTTGCGATCATTGCATTGGATTGAACCTAGAATTGCCAAGCTGAATCTAAGGACTTGATGGTTCTTCTCTTCCTACTGTCAAAATCCTCCGACTACTGAAAACGGTGACAGCAATCAAAGTGCCCAAGGCCTACAGTTGCATCGGAACTTCGCCGATGTGAACTTTTCTGCTTGAAGGATGGAAGGACGGTCTGGACGAACTTGGAGTTTATCGAAGAAGATAATCGTCAGATGCTACTTAAAGGTTCTGCAATGTCGGGATCAGAAAGCAGGCGAGGGATTCCCGATTTAGTTTAGTGATTGAGTGTCGATCGGTGATGACCAGTTGGCAGATAGCGATATGCACTGACGGTTCATTGTTTTCTGCGAGTCGAGGACTATGCAAAGTTTATTCGGAGGGAACTGAGCACTCGATGTAATGTTTGCTACTCCCCGAGCCTCTTCCTCCATTTGCTATTCAGAGCGTTCATGCCAGTTTCCATATTGGCCGTTTGCCCAACGATGAAACTCGACATTGCTTCACGAAGTACAAATGTCGTATCTGTAGTTTTTCTGAGCGAGTCTCAAATTTCATTCCTCTTACGAGACAGAGGCATTGCCATTGTTCAATTCCAAGTTTCAGCGCAGTACATGAACACGGGGGTAAGAATCGATGCCGGGCGTTCCCGTCTGATCTCCTAAGCACAACAACTACATACCTGCTCGATGATTCTGATGCTCGAAATCTGTTTCTAAGTATGCCTTATGAAGATTGTTAAGATTCTCACCATTTTCGATATATTCCGAACTAGTACAACTGTTTCTGAGGTAGCAGTCGAGCTTCTTCGGGAAGCGCCTTGTTCTTTCTTAAACTTTGTGGTATGATTCTATTGGCTCCTGCTCTTGTCGTCTGATGATCTGACAAGGCCGACCAAATCGCTCACGCCCGCGACATTCTCCCTGGGAATTGGCCTTATCTCTTTTTATCGTTTTAGCGTTGATTCTCAAGTTACGTGGGAGGGCACGCACTCGTCGAGGAACCGGAGAAGAGAGCTCCAAAGTCCATGACCTACGGATTCGATGGAATCCCTACCTGATTCTCTGCCGTAAACCTGCATCACGATTTTCAGTCACACGAACAGAAGTCTGGAAGCGATTACGAGCCCGATAAATCTGAAGCGTCGCCAACCTTTCGCTTGAGAGCTGATTTTAATGTACACTGTCTGTCATCGGTCGGAGGTCAGTCCTGCGGAGGTACAATATAATGATTATAGACATGGACTTGAGACATCGTCATCGTTCAGAGTGTTCAAGCTCTCCTATATCGAAAAGTTTGGGCTTCGTGATGTCTGAGTGACGATAATTTGGGCACACGAGCAGCGAAGGGGTGCAAAGGATGGGCCCATCGCTCGCGCACCAAGTACATCGTCAAGCTGTAGGGCGACGTTAGTCATCATGCCTGAAGCTCGCCTGACCAGGATACAGATTTGTGGATCGAGCTTTTGCTAGGTTCACAAGTTCTGAGCTACACCATTATGCTCTGTCACCGACTGTCCTTTCTGCCTTTTCCGCATCGAAGTCATGGAGAATTCTGTATTTCTGGAAATTCTGCACTAGTTTCATAAGGTTGGGCTTCCCGTGAGAGCCTTAAGTATGAATGTCTGACCTAAAATTAGTGAGGCAGAATTCACCGATAAGACCCTGGAAGGTTCCAACAGATGACGTGCTAATGTGTGAGTTGCGACTGGACTTGACAGTGTTCTGGAGTTTCAGATACCCAATACAAGTTTAGCTTCTCGGTTGCGCCTCGCAATCATCTGCTCGGTCATAACGAGCTCCTCGTGCTCTGCTCGAAACAAGAGGACGTGATCATATTCGTCTCGGGGGCTCAGATCAGCTCGTGGCCAAAAGGATATACTTCAAGGCCAAAGTCGATGAACTCAAATTGTTACATCACTCGACAACTTTCATGACACCCTGCACTCAGACCTGCACTCAGACCGAGTCGCATCCAAAAACCAAACGACCGCACTTGTTCTTAGAACCACCCTTTCGCAGATACTTCTACCAACCGGAAAACAGATCGAACGAAACCACGAGACTTTCATATTACAGGGACGACGTCGTCAAAACCAGCCCACGACGTAAATGGTGGGGGTCTTGGATCATGAATGGCTTTACATGTAAGGACTTCCATCAGCTTCGCTGAAAACATGCATTTCCGAGCACTGAACGGGAAGCTGCTCCCGTGCTGCTTGGATTATTACTCAACACCTGCAACCAGAGCGGAACTGCTGATTGCTACTAATGATCAAATCATCATTTAGACGATAGTCAAAGAATGAAGCAACTAAACTCCTCTCGTAGAGCCTCAGGTAACGAAATCAAATGGGCCTAACCGCAGATCGAGTCGAGGACCTACACGGGTAAAAATGGGCGAGATAGATACAAGCTGGCATCTATGTCCTAGGCCGCAACGTCGAGTCCTAATTTTCTTCTGACCGAAGGGTCGGCTATCCAACTACAGAAAGGAACTCCATAGCACACAAACACTCCTGCATTTGTATGGTCGGCCGAGAAGGGCGACTTGGCAGCCTGCAGCACCGCATTCACGGACTGCTTCATGGCGGATGACCCTGTCACTTTGCTGCGCTTGCCCCATCCGGTCACAATATACACTCTTCTGGTCGGCCTTTGGACCCAGTTGTCTCGCAGGCTCGTGAGCAGTTTGGGCAGCGCAACCAGAGCAGTTCCGACCGACATGGAGTGGAGATCGATCAACCAATGATTGGGGGCTCCCCGCCTGATGATGGAATTCGGGAAAAGACCTTTCTCCACCGCTAGCTCCCATACAAATCCCGGATCTACCTTGCATTGAAGCTTGTAAAGAAACTCTATTAAGGCGTTGGCGAAGGCCTGTCTACTGTCTTGGTCCTCATGCTGCACCGAGTCAAAAAACGTCTCGAACCTAGTTCTCGTATTCCTCCTATCCTGGTCCTTGGAAGTGAGCAATTCAAACACGAACTTATGGGCCGGGTGTCCTAAGCGATCCATCAAACCCAGCACGGCATCTACATGATCTTGCCTATCGCACCCTGTGCAATGTCTCAAGAGGGAAGTGTACACTTTGAGGTCCGGACTGATGCCCCACATCGACATGCTTGTCAGGAAGTGCTGGGCACCTTCGTACAAGTGCAACTCGAGATGTGCATTGACCAGGGACGTAAACACAGATAAGCTCGGAGTGACCATATTGCCGAGCATAATACCGTACCAACTTACAGCCTTGTCCAAGTTCCCGGCCTGGCCCCACATGTTGATCATCAGACTGTATGCAGCCGTGTCTCCGACGATGCCCGTCTGCTCCATTTCTCTGAACAGGGCCTCGGCTTCGGTGAACTGGCCCAGAGTGGCCAACACGCTCATCACGGTGGTGCAGATCACCGAGTTGAGAAGGAACCCGTTGTCGCGCATTTCTTGATAATATTTCAATGCGTACTCGGTCTGTCTAGATTTCGCATGGCTATCGATCATACTGTTGTAGGTGAACTCGTTGGGTACACAGCCCATTTCCTTCATCTCCCGAAATAGCTTGCGTGCCTGGCTCAAATCTCCCGACTTGCCAAGCGAGTTAATGACTATGCTATATGTTATAGTGTCCGGTTTGATTCCCGCTTCCAACATGGCTCGATACAGTTTCAAGGCCTCCGGGATGAACCCGGACTTGACACAAAGATGAATCAGAATAGAATAAGTCACGTTGTCAGGCTTGCACCCGGCTTCCTTCATGATTCGGAATACTCGCAACGATTCGCTTAAAGATTTCAACTTACCGTAGATAAGAATCAGAGTATTGTACGTGACACTGGTCGGTTCGCAGCCGTCCTCGTGCATTTCTTCTAAAAGAGTCCTCACTCCTTGGAGATTTCGTGCACGTCCAAGAAGACTTATCATAGACGTGTATGTAAATACAGTGTGCTTGAAGCCTTGTCGTTGTTTGGCCCAGTTGAAAAATTTGAGAGCCAACGAAGGGTCCGAGATCTGCTGTATCACAGCGGTGACGCAATAAGAGTTCAGTTTCCCCTTAAGGCCGTCCAACGTTTCCATGGTGACAGGCCCCCACCTGTGCTGTCTCAGAGTCTGACACACGAGGTTCACCACCTTTCGACTGTCTGATGTTGACCAATTGACTTTCTCCCTGCTTTTGATTCTAAACGTCGGAGAACTAGCACCTGTTGTGTAGTCTCTGACCGGGTTCTCTGTACACAATGCCATGCTGCCGTGCTTCCAAAGACGACTCGAGCTTTTTTCCAGCTTCCGGATGTTGGCCTTCGTCGTCCTAGCAAGATGGGACTGTATACTGACTGCTTCCGGAACCTGGAGCCCTCGGTGTGACAAAACATTGTCGGCCACAGAGGCGCTGAGTGCGCCTCCAGATCTAAGTTCGATACTGAGGGCATCCTTTGCAGGAATCGTGTTCTCAGAGACATGCATGGGACGTGAAGGTGCCATAAAACAGTCGCTGACGCGACTTGCTAAAGTACTCTGTATCAGGCTACCTTCACACCGGGCATCCCCGCCCCGTACAGATGCTTGATTACAGTGCTTCAGACGAGGCTTCGAGGCTAAGACGTTCGAAAGGCTCATGTTTTCATTTGTGCTATGCTTACCGAGAGGTTCTCTTGTCCGTATGGGTGTCAGGTCGGGAACACAAGACGCTGCCCCAGGGCATGGGGAGAAACTCGACCTAGTTGCTTCTCCGATGTCATCAAGACCTGAAGAATGGTTTCTGTTGCACCTACCTGCTCTGGGCTCTAATGACCTCTCTGGCTTGCGAGAAACATCTGCTGCAGAGAAACAATTCCTGAAGTCGATGCCGTCAACCCTCAACATTTGGGTGCAGGTTGATCCCGACCTCGATGGCCGAGATGTTTGAAGCTTTGATCCAGGCGCAACGGTGGTGACCACTGCCCTGGGCTCCGAGCCAAGGTCTGGTTGTCCCCACTTACGAGGGTCGTCAACCTTGTGGTGCTTAGGCACCATGGCGTTGGCACTCGGGTGGCCATTGCTGCCCTCTTCTTGCCTGGTGGAGGAGGGGTAGGAACTCATCTCTGGAATGGTACTGTGTCTAGCTGCAAAAAGACCCGGCTTCATCTCCGGCTGTCGCACTCCTCCTCCATTGAGCTCCGTGGCTGCACCTGAGCGGCATCCATCACAAATAACTGGCTCCATTGCCATACCCTTAAGCTGATCCTGAGGCTCTGCTCCAGTTGAACAATCCTCCCTAGGTGCGTTGGCCGTGGCAGACGGCTGTCTGAGAGCCTCGCGTGAAGAAGCCCATGAAGGAGCTGAATGAGAAACGGACTGGTTCTCAGGAACGTGTTCGAAAAACACAGGCACCGAGCCTGAGGAATCATGTTTGCCATCATTGCAATACTTTGGGCACCTCGCCCTCGGTGAAACAGGCGAAGTCTTTGCTACGGAGCTCTGAAAATTCCGAAACCGTAACTTCCTGAGGAGTGTAGGTCCATCAAACAGCCCCGACACAGCCGACAGGTACGGCGAAACCTTTGTCCTGTCCAAAAACTTCGATGAGCTCCGCGCTGAAGAATTTCCCGAATGAGGAGTGTTCTCGGCTTCCGCATGAGGGTTGATAAAGCAGGAACTAGACGGATACACAGAAGAGCTTTCTTTCTCACCGCGAGCTTTGAGAAATATTGTTTTGGATCGGCCATACACCTTAGAGAGGTGTCTTTGACATAACTTCATCTGCATTGCAAGTATCTTATGAGCCAGGCTCCAGTGGGACTTGGAAATTCACGCTCTCTTTGAGAGACACAAGATTCGAGCGTATACTTCCGGATTCAAAACTTTTCGTGCCAGGTCACATGAATTCAGCTTTTTTCAGTTAGCATAAACTTACCCTTTCAGAGCAAAATGAGGTCTTCCTTTCATCCCTGGACTGCATCTCAATCTGGGAACGCCATTGAGCTCCTGCAGTCAATCAGTTCCCACCTATGAGACGATGCTTGCTGACATGCAAACGAGTTCAGATTGATTAGCAAATTCAGACTACACTTGGGCAACCGGTAGCTTACTCACATATGTACAGAAGCGTAGAGCGGCATCCAGGTTTGTGCCACTGCAAGGACCAATAGGATGCAAAAAGTTCCAGAAGAAAAAAATGAAGTGCAACGCTTAAGCTTGACACCACCTGCAACCAAGACAATAACAGGGAAGAAGCGGATAAGTCAGAACTCCAGACCATTTAGCATACTTGCATCACACTACTTGGTTCAAAGGATGTTACTACAATTGAAAGCTTAAACTAATCGAAGTGTTCAAGGATACAAAGAGTAGAGTAGAAGCGGTACTAGGCAGATTGCGGGCAATGCGCAGGCAGCGAAGTGATTTGCGATATGACAATGCCACTCCTCATCGTGGAGCGTGGTTGAAAAGATCTGCTTGGACATAATATCCTCGATGTAGGAACAGCATACGAGAAGAACAGAAGGAATCTCCAATCTCCAACAAAGATTTGAAGACAGAGCCATGAATGAGAGGGAGAGAACGTAGAGGACAATTGTAGCAAAATGTACCGGACGATATTATATCACAACAGAAGGATTTGGAAACGGAGGGCATCGACGATCTCATTCTTTGCGCTACGCACGAAGGGCGATCTTCCTACATACGATTTGTAGGGAAGTATTCTACACAATGCGATGAAAACTGCGCGGGATCTAAAGATCTATCGAGTGATCGACTTGAGTTTTTCCGGAATCTAACAGGATGAAAAATCTGAATCGCTTGCGCAGATTTCCGAAGCTAAAGGGCATAATCAATCGATCGAAAGTTCAATTCGGAGGACGAACGAGAAATTAATGAGGAAATTCCACTCACATAGGCCACGCTTGCAAGATACAGCGAAGAGTTAAACCGCCAAAGTGCTATTTTCTTGTGCAGAATCGATGGATGAACACTGACACCGCTTGCCATCGTCACGAGCAAAACTGCGCGGATCGCATGCCTCAATCACCCGATCCCGCACACAGAAAACTCGACCATAAACCGTGGCAGGAAGAAACACCGGAGCATGAACAGCTTGTCAACGTCGTCGCTTGCAGAGACCATCCATGGCTCATCCGAGCACACCAGGCCCGCGGGAGCCTCTCGTCAAAGCCAGAAATGCGCGCACAGCGCGCCCATCCTCCAACAGGTGTGGCGCAGGCGAAGACGACGATCAGCGTTCTCGCGCTGGCTCGGTCGTGCCCTCGTTCCGTCCGTCCTAAAACCCTACATCAATTCTCAGCCCTTCACGGACATTCCGTGCACGCACGCAATGTCGGAGCGAGGGAAAATCCTTGCGGCGCATCGGTGGTGATCTTCCGAGTCGTCGTCCCTGGTTCGCTCGCTCGCGACAGCAGCAGCAGCACGAGCAGCTTCCAATTGTCAACGAGTTGAATCGAAGCTGCGCCGGAGAAGGAGATGGATCTGCCTCCGGCCACGCACGAAAAGCGCAAGCCTCGTAAAGCTTTGGATCTCCGGGACGGGAGAGAGCAATTGGCGACTCCCGAAACTCTCGCTCTTTGTCTCCAGTCCTGATCCTGCTCCCTCCTCTTCAGAACCCTCTTCCTGTTCCTGCTCCTGCTCCTGCTCCTGCTCGTCGCCGATACTCCTCCGGATCTGCCGCCGCCTCCTTCTCCGAGCTCTCGCTCTCTCGACTCACTGACGACGCACTGACCTCCTCCAAATCTCTCCCTCGTCCATTCCTCGCCACATCGTTGCCTTGAACCCCTCGGGCCTCCTCCCCGTCTCCGCTTCCTCTATCCGGGGGAACGTGCAGCCGATATCAGCCGAAATCTCCAATACTAGAACTTCTCTCCACTTCCATGAGTGCCCGAGACTCCGATACATGCTCCGGACCGCTCGTTATTAGAACGAACGAATTTCAGAGCGTCAGTTTCGTCGTGCCTTTGCGAGCGTGTGTGTGGTCGCGGATCATGAGTTGCAGAAGAGCAGAATTTGCATCCTGGCCTCGATAGGAGTACGAGGAGGAGCAGGGGGAAGTGGAGTGGAGTGGAGTCGAGTGACAAAATCTAGTTCAGAGAGAGAAGATGGTCACGAGGGAGTTGCAGGATCCGGTTTAATTATTTAATTTCACGCGTGTTTCCAGCTTTCCCGCATCAAGAGCTCGTTGTAAATCCAGATTGACGTCCTGCTCGGAAGCAAGTGCGCCAACAATCTTCGGACAGCAAACTCTTAGGAATTGAGGTGTCCGGAGCTTCCGAAGAAACATCTCGCAAGAAGCTCTGGCAGAAGCATGCTATAATGTTCGGTCATTTTTCCATCGTGCTCTCCATTTCTTATGATCACGGGACGCACCGTGCGCAGAGAGAGAGAAGAGGATGATGGTTCAGTATTAGCACCTGGGGACCTGGAGCGGAGCAGAATGCAAGAGTGGATCCGCCAAAGCTTCGTATCACACAGACTGAAAGTAAAGACTAATGAAAGCTTGAGGAGATATATTGCGCTACTTTTGCTCAATTATATTTATTTTCTCGCTTGCTCTTTTTTGTTTCTTTTTACATATATCAACGCTATTTATTGCATACTGAAAAGTAATCGATTTGTTTTTTTAATAGTGTTATTATTATGATTTGAGTTTCCTATGCTCAAATTTGGAAGTTTATTTTCTTTGGCTAACCAAGTTGACAATTAAAAATTTGTTTACTAAATTTTACATGCCCAAACCTTCTTGGTCAAAAATGATAAAAAATTTGTGTTTATTTTGGAAATTTTTCAAAGAATACTAGATATGTTAAATGTGAGATTCACACGGATCAAATAGATGATTCCAATACATCACTTTGAACGTAGCAATGCTCAAAAGTTCTTCCTTAAGGCATTAAAAATACGAGGGATTCACTCTCTCACACACACACACATATATATATATATATATATAAAAAATTAAGATTTTATAGATATTAAGATACTCACTTATAACCTAAAAAGTTTATATAGTTTGTATCATGCTTGCTTTTAAGTCGGCCAAGTATTTTTCTTCTAGCAGTCACATGCAAGATGCATGTTTAATCTCTAATATAAATATGATGAAGTGATACATCCAAGAATTAAAACCTTCTTCAAGAAGTTAATAGATTAGATACAAATTTTAAAAGCCATAGATATGTTTGTCTTGAAATATATAAAAAGATTGTTTCTAAATATGAGATTGAAAATGTATATGACAAAATAACTAGATTTAGTCATAAGACAAAGATATGACAACAGAAGTTTTAGATAAACTTTTACTCAAAATAACTTGTATTATTTTTTGTATTATATTCCTTTGTTTATGATAATTATCCCTCATTCTATAAATTGATTGACAATCTGAGATGTCCATTAGTTATGACGTGAAGTCAAGCATTTTGACTGGTTGGGAACGCAAAAAAAAATGGAAGTTATGGGGATGCTCCACAAGTATGTCTGTTAAGATACAATATAGAACGGCAAGGACTATTCAGTATTGTTGATTGTACATATGTCTTCCGTGGAAGACATTGCATGAGTGACATGTGTCGGTACTTCCGTGACACGTTGCCGGAAGTTTGTCGACATTCTTACTCTTCTATTGTGTTCCATAACTCTCCCTATATAAGGCTAGTTCTTTGGTGACATTGTCAAGTGTTCCAATACTGTAAGCTCTAAGTTCAACAGGTTATGGGCAACACTTCACGCTCCCGCTGCGCTACCCCGATTGCTTATAATTCCGGAAAGGGAGGTCTATCCTCGACTACGAGCTTGGAGCTCGGGAATGTAGAGACGCAAACCGGTGTAGTATCGGACGTAAATTTTGTTCTGTTTGTTGAGCGGGCACGCGGTGCAGCTCTTCACGTTGTGCTATGAGCACCAACAGCTAATTTGTAGCTGGGTTCTTATCGAACGAGTGCATTGTTGCATTTCGTTGCTTTGAGTTGGGAAATAGCGTATCACTCCTTAACCAGCGTGTATAGAAGCATTGCATCTAGTGCACATCAGCCTGTGCACTCAGCGACCCAAGCATAACAAAGGGGCGGGTCAACTAGCGCAACCAACCCATCTGTCAGACACACAGCATCCATGGAATCAACAAGCATTCCAGTGGAGAAATTCGATGGCACCAACTGGACACCCTTCTACATCAGTGTCCAAGATGCCATGAATCAAGTGGATGCCAAGCTGTGGCACATTGCCAGTACCGCCTGCAGTGGCTCGGGTGGTATCAGCAGCAGTACAGCTGCGGGCACAAGTGGTACAAGTGGCACAACCCCAAGCAAATCAGCTGCGGCAGCTATGGATCTTGCATTGGGCAGCAAGGCTTTGATCATCATCAGGTCCAACTGCCACAAGGATGTGAAGGTGCACATCTACTCGGCTGCAAGTGCCAGTGACGCTATGGTGACCCTCAAGGCAGTGTCCATGTCAGGCAACATGGCGCGTCTGTCAACTAGGGAAGGTTAGTGGGACATGGCTGCCATGAAGCCTAAGGAGACCGTGCGGTCATACGCCTCACATGTCTACAGCCTGCGCGACGACCTGCTGGAGGCTAGTGTGGTCAAAACTGACCATGACACCACGTGGGCACTAATCAAGGGGCTGTTTGCGGCGTACGAGACACTTCGCACAATGTTGCGTCTTAACTCTAGGAGCATGACCCTGGTGAAGGTGGTGGCTGCGCTCGAGGCTCATGAGCAGACTCTGGAGGCAACTGCTGATGATCCATCATTCCATGCAGTTGTGCGTGGTGGCCACGGTAGTGGTCGTGGCGGACACGGGGGACGCGGCGGTGGCCGCGGCTTTGGCGGCAGCAGCACTCAGCAACCCCGTGTCTTCCAAGGCAACTGCAACAAGTGTGGCCAGTGGGGCCACATGCAGAAGGACTGCCCTAAGAACAATGAGAAGGCGGTGTTCTCAGTGGGCAGTGGCTTTGGGCTAGGGGAGAAGATTTGGCTGGTGAACTCAGGTGCTCCCAACCACATCACCCCCCCATGAGCTGAACATGTCATACGAGCAGTACGACTGCCCCAAGCGTATCTAGTGGGGCGGTACATATACCTGGACGGAGGCCTTGGGCGAGGGTATCATCAGCTTCATGAGTAAGCATGGGGAGGTGGAGCTGCAGAAGGTGTGATTCGTGCTAGATAGCAGTGCCAACCCGATCTCGCTGCCCTTAGTCTAGAAGCAAGGCTACACATCAGTCGCCACAGCCAAGGGGCTAACTGTGTACAAGGAAGGGAAGTTCTGGCAGCCCAAGCTATGGGCAAGCTTGAGGGATGACCAGCTCATCATCAAGGCGTATGAGTACGACATCTCCAAGCAGGCACCGAGTGTGCACAAGGTGACAGTGACACCCGCGTTGTTGCATCGGCGCATGAATCACACTGGGTTCTCAGCGCTGGCTAAGATGGCAGGAGCGGTGGACAGCCTGAGGGTGTCTCAAGAGGAGATTGAGGCCGTGGGAGCAGCGGGCAGTGTGTGCGAGCCATGCGTGATGGGCAAGCAGCACAGGGACCCCTCCCTTCTTCCACCACTGTGACAAAGCAACCGTTAGAGCTGCTGCACACGGACGTGGCTGGTCCAATCACACCTGCTTCCAAGGATGGGGGCAGGTACTGGGCAACTCTGTCAGATGACCATAGCGGCTTCTCAATGGTGGCCACGCTCAAGCACAAGAGCGATGTGGGTTAGTTTATTGTGGACTTAGTCAGCTGGCTAGAGCGCAAGACTGGGCTCAAGATTAAGGCCATTCGCAGCGACAGGGGTCGTGAGTACTTGGGTGAGGTGCGGCACTGGTGTCGTCAGCGGGGCATTCGGCCAGAGACAACTGCGCCCTATACTCCCGAGCAGAACGGTAAGGCTGAGCGGCTGAACCGTGTGTTGGCGGAGCGCATGCGCAGCATGCTGAGTGATGCCAAGGCACCTGCCTACCTGTGGGGTGAGGCGGTGATTGCAGCGAACTACGTGCGCAATCTTGTCCCTGTTGCCCGTAAGGACAAGACTCCGAGGAAACTGCTGTTGGGCAAGAGATCAGATGTGAGCCATCTACGGGTGTGGGGCATCACGTGCTATGTGCTGGTGCTCAAGGAACAGCGCAGCAGGAAGATGGACGCTGTGTCACAAAAGAGCGTCTTTGTGGGATATGAGCGTGACTCCAAGGCGTACAGGGTGTTGGTTGCCGACACCATCAAGACTACCAGGGATGTGTTGTTTGATGAGTCTTCAAATGGCTCAATTACTCATGACGGTGAGCGGTTCATGTATCATGTGGGTGACAGCGCAACTGAGGCGGTTCCTCTGGCGGAGGCGATAGGAGATGCAGGTGAAGCTCTTGGTCCGCCAGCTGAACTGCCAATAGCCGTTGCACCTGCGCCTGCACCGGCTTCACCTGCACTTGTTGCATCTTATGATGATGACAGTGCCATGTTGGGCACTCGTGAGCAGAGTCTCTTGCGCCCTGACAGTGACAGTGAGGTTGAGTCAGAGGACCGTGGGAGACCTGTTGGTGACGGCAACGCAGCACGACTGCGGCCTACTCGTGTCAGGAACCCACCTGAGCGTTATGCTGACATGGTCATAGCAACTAGACGGTGGCAGTGGAAGTCCGTCAATGCGGTCATTGGCCCTGTCAGTGTGCCTCAGGTGGAGAAATTTGAGATGTTCTTGCTTCCTCCTTCCCATGACGGTGCTAGCATAGCATAAGTCAGGGTCTACTTAGTTGAGGCGGTAGTAGCTGGGCCTGAGTCACCAGCGACTGATGATAAGGCCTTCAATGGGCCTGATGCAAGCAAGTGGCACGATGCTGATCAGGAGGAATTGGGCAGGCTGAAGGAGTGTGGCACCTATGTGCTGGTGGATCGACCTCAAGGTGCTCGGGTGTTGCGGTCTCGTTTTGTGATAACTCTCAAGAAGGACAGCCAGGGCAGGATTGTGAGATACAAGTCGAGGCTGGTTGTCAAAGGTTCATGCAACGTCCAGGTGTGGACTTCTCTAAGGCGTTTGCTCCAACAAGTTGACAGTCTAACACCCGGATGCTGCTGGCGCTAGCAGCTGCCAAGGATTGGGAAGTGCATCAAATCGATGTGAGTACAGCATTCCTGTATGGGAATCTGGAGGAGGAGATTTACATGGAGCAGCTTCCTGGTTATGCAAAAGGTGGGCCAAGCAAGGTGTGGCTGCTGAAGAAGGCCCTATACGGTCTGCGCCAGGCACCGCGTGCATGGTACAAGCGGTTGAAGGGTGTGCTGGAGACAGGATGGTATCAGGTGTCCAGCAATGACCCAGCTCTGTTCCACAAGCTGAATCCAAAAGCAACGTTTGCTTTAGTGCATGTGGATGACATCCTCTCTGCATCTGCATTCCT